AATGCTCCTTTAAAGTAAACTACAATATTAAGTAGAAGACCCGTTACTTAATTCTGAAAGTTGAAAGCGTTCAGTAAAATTATCTTTAATAATATTTATAATATGAAAATTATACCCCAAAATATTTTACAATCCTATTAAAACTCTAATTTGTGTTATCTCCAAAATTCTTAACCTATTTATTCTCTTTGTCAATTGTCTTCTTTAGATAATAGGTGTTCTTCTTCTTTTTTTCTTCGCTCGTCTTCTACAAATAAACACGTTGAAACATACACCCACACGCACATATAGACATGCACGGTACATTCACCCACCCACCCCCACACATATATTATTAATGAGATTTAATTTATTCTATTTTTTTAATTTATTTTTTTATTGTTATCCGATTATTTATTCGTTATTATTTTTTTGATCAAATATTATTGTTCATTTATTGTGTAATTTAATTTATTATTATTCACATATTGTAATTCGATTATTTATTTATCGTTGTTCTTTTTCTTTTTTTGATCAGATGTTATTATTCAATTATTGTGTTATTTAATTTATTATTGATTTGATATATTGTCATTGTTTATTAGATAAAACATATTTTATAAATACTTTAAATTAAAAAGTGGAAGGATAAAACTTAAAATTAATTTATTTTTAAACGTCAGTTTTATATAATTATCAAACAGTTTGATTTAATTCAGTACTTAAATTTCAGTGAATATCAAACAGTTCACAAATTCAGTATTTAACTTTCAGTTTTCAATTTTTAAATTTTAGTTTTTAATTTTTAATTTTTAAATTTCAACTTTTAATTTTTAGATTTTTATTTTAGCAAATGTCACCTAATCTAACTAAATGTGGAAATTAAGAGAGAGAGGGACGGTCACAAAACCTGAGAGGGACAGTTGCACAACCGCATGGAAAAGTCAACAATGCATTTGATGGCAACTCGAAAAAGAAAAGACGAAGTGGGACACAATTTAATGACATTCTTCGGCCTACCATTCTTGGATCTGAATAGATTGAGAAGTAATAATCTGTAGCAGCAAGCTATAAACAAATTGATGATGGTGATGGACTTGGTGGTGACTGTTGAGACGATTGACCGATCAAAGACGAAAAAAGCTAGAGAGAGATTGGAGTGAGGTGAGATGAGAGACACAGAGAGTCAGGGTGCCAAAAAAATTTATAACCTTTTAAGTGACTCGTTTGATTTTTCTAAAACTGCCCGTTTGTTCAAAAATTGTGTAGCTCAACGGGTATTCGATGGATTTAATCCTCAAACGATCTAATTTATGAATCGGCTTAATTTAAAATCTGATTTGTTAATTTAAAGACAAGATTAAATAGGGTATTATAATAATACGTAATTTTATCAAATGTTTAGTAATACACAATATAAGTGTTGGATAGTAGTTATTTAATCCAAACGGTTGTTTGGTTAGAGAATTATTTTATCGTATTAATGTTGAATTAACAAAAATATCTTCAATCAGTATTTGTTACATTGATAACAACTTGATTTTATAAGTTAAGGGGTTATAATAGTAAATATGTAGAATAACACGTTTGAGTTGAATTATAATACCGTCTCTCTTGGTGGTATTAAACAATCTCCATAATATAGAGTTATCGTATAAAAAATATACGATAAGTATATGATCAATATATATTTTTGAAATTAATACGGTATCAAATTTACTAACCAAATAAAATATTAGGCCCGATTAAATAAAAAATAGTGTAATCCAATATTTAATCCCCTCATAATACGTCTACCAAACGAGCCCTTGGTGGAGAGCCATTTATTAGTGTTATTAAATTAACTCCTTTCTACCCTTAAAAAAAAAATCATTGGTGGTCTTTTTCAATTTTATATCGTCCTTATTAATGATTAAATCTATCATAATCGATATCAATTCTATTAAAATGTTTAATATATCCTTTCAACCTTCATACACTACCATTGGAAAACTATGTTTTTCATCTTCTCTCTCACGAGCCTCCTTATCCACATACATAGTCAATGGAGGTGGCTTACCGTGTTTGGTAGGCAAACCTTTGAAGACCACACATAGGTGCACACAGACCCCAACGAGCGTGCTTCACAGCTCCAATATTCTTCTTAAATCGCCCACTATTGCCATAAATACTAGTAGGTGAAGCCACGCGAAACATCCTAACAAAACAAAGAGGGGGAAGATCCCCCTTCAAATTCCAAATTATTCAACAATCTTCTCCCACATCATACTCATACATGGACACTACGATCCGAATCAAATCCCAGCGACAAATAAATTTTGTCTTGATTAGTACCCCGATTCATCAACGTCACTTCCGGCAAGGTTGTCATATAAACTTTGGCTGCGAGTGCTGCATCAATGACCCTCGTCATGGCTGCGAGTGCTGCATAAATGGCCCTTGTCATAGAAAAATCTTCTCTCGTGAAAAAGATAAAATTATTGATGTCCCCTCAAAAGGATAAATGGACGAAGGAAAAGTCTGGTACTATATTAAAAATTTTAAATTATAATATTAGAGGTATGTTTACTAAATTTATAATGTAATTACACCGGTTGATAGACAAGACAAGACATACCGTCTGGCAGTCATTAAGTCAATTGAGGGCAAAATTACAACAATAGTGAGAAGTTTANATTGTGTTATTCAATTTATTATTGTTCATTTATTGTTATTCGATTATTTATTATTAATTATTATTTTTTTGATTAGATATTATTATTCATTTATCGTGCATATTTATAAATATTTTTAACTTAAAAAATTAAAGGGTAAAACTGAAAATTAATTTATTTTCAGACGTTAATTTTGTGTAGTTATCAAACAATTTAATTTTATTCTATACTTAAATTTCAGTGAATTTCAAACAATCTATAAATTCAGCATTTAACTTTTAGTTTTTAGACTTCAATTTTTAATTTTTAAACTTCAATTTTTAATTTTGTCCAATACCACCGAAATGTGGCAATTAAGAGAGAGAGAGAGAGAGGATCACAAAACCAGAGAGAGACACTTGCACAACTGCATCGAAAAGTCAACAATGCATTTGATCGCAACTCGGAAAAGAAAATACGAAGTGGTAATGACATTTTTTGGACTACCATTCTTCAAATTCAAGTGGATCTGAACAGATTGAGAAGGAATAATTAGTAGCAGGAGTGCCCCGATTGATCAACGTCGCATCCGGCTAGTCAAGGTTGTCATATAAACTTTGGCTGCGAGTGCTGCATCAGTGACCCTTGTTATGGCTGCGAGTGCTGCATTAATGATACTTCTCGTAGAAAAATCTTCTCCGGTGAAAAAAATAAAGATTAATGGTAGATGAATTTTAAAAATATATTTAAAAATTAGACTTCATAATTTTAACTATTGAAGAGATAGTGAACCCTAATAAATATTGAAACCTACAGTGAAATTAATGATTGAGATTATCAAGTCTAATTTTTAAATATATTTTTTAAATTCATGTATTATTACTCAAAACTAAAATTATTGATGTGCCCTCAAGGGCTCTCATTAATTCCTTTTTGGTCTTTTTGGCCNATCATTACTCAAAGTTAAAATTATTGATGTGCCCTCAAAGGGGCTCTCATTAATTCCTTTTTTGTCTTTTTGGCAGATGTGACGGCAATATCACCAAAGGTATCCACTCATGTTTTTGCTCTCATTTTCTACTGCGCTGTAGTTTTGTCCGGTAGGTAAAAGATTTATTGATCGAAAAAAGTAATCTAGAAAAAAAGTTCAACACCTTCAACCAGAGCATACAAAGAAATTATCAGAGGGATCCTTCCAGAAAACTGTCTGATACATAAAGTATAATCTCTCACAATCCAATCCAAGAGACTACAATCTAAGTGAAGTATTTGCCAATACTAATCGGAAGAAAGACGATACTTTGCACCGGACACGGCCGGCCCAATTATAGAAGTAAAAAAGTTTGAACTTTTAAGTCCCATAATTTTAGTCCCATAATTTTAGGTAAATAGTTGACCTACTTTATAATTTTAAGTTTATGAAAAATAAAAATTATAAGTTATACAAAAAAGCCTTAGTTAAAATTTAAGGTCAATCAAAAAATTTAATTTTAATAAATTTTTAAACTCATGATTCATCCCATAATAATAAAAACCTAAAAAATAAAAATTTTATTAAAAAAAATTGATGGTATACTCAAAACTTTAAGTCGTAATTCACCTATTCATTATTAACCACATCTCCTCTCTCTCTCTCTATAAAGCCCCTCTCTTTCATTTTTATTCTCACTCTTTATATCAATTTCAAATAAAGAGTTTTTTTTATTGTTTATTAACTTAAAAAATAAAATTAATAAATGCTGATAGTTTAAAAAAATTTATCTTAATTTCGGATGTTTCTTAATATATAACAATTTTTTTTACATTGATAGTTTATATTTATTTTAAAAATAAAATATTTTAAAGCAGGTTTTATAAATGAAAGAAAATACTCTAATTGAGACATCAATTTATATAACAAACATTAGATGTTTTTTTTCAATTGTATGTATTTCTTATAGAATATTATTATTAATTTTTGTAAGAGTTACTTCTACAAAAAGAAGTTGTTTAAAATTAAAATAGATAAAATCTTATTTAAAATTGACTATCACAAGAAAAAATAATTAAATTAGCGATATTATAAATGAAAAAAAAAATTTGATAACAAAATTTAAAAATAAAAACTCAATTTATATTTTTACAACTCAAAAAATAAAAAGAATTAATTTTAATCAAATTGTTAACACTAAAAATAAAAAAAACCTCAAAATAAATTACGGTTTTAAACTTCAAAATACCTTGAGCCATGCCGCACCAGAGGAGGGATCATTTGTGGGAAAGGATATCGCCTTAAATTTACAAATCTATCATAAGTATCAACAACTAACAGTTGCTCGCGAAACATATGGACTAATTTATTGAAACAGTAAATCCACAATCTAGCATCTCTTACCCATGTAACTTATTCTAACGTCCCACGCCACCAAGGAGTGACTCTGTACCGGACAGGGCATTAGCAGAAACACTCCCCAATGATGATGAAGGGAATGACATTGCAAACTCGCTTGACATTTCACTCCCCACTAATGCAGCCATGCCAACACCTGCGGCATCCATAAATACTTCCGGCAAGATGGCATCTCCATCCAAATATTGCATCACTTGCCTCATGCTAGGCCTGGACACTGGATTATTGCGTGAGCAAAAAAGACCCAGCTTCAAAACCAACTCCATTTGTTTCACCACAAAATCACCTCCTAGTCTGGGATCACTTGCCTCAAGTATTGCTCCTTCTTTCCATTTCTCCAGAACCCACTGAACCAGAATCATATCATCAACGGCTCCATGTACCTTTAGAGGCCTTTGTCCACAAGCCACTTCGAGCATAAACGCTCCGAAAGCAAAGACATCGGTGCTAGTAGTTGCCTTACCAGTTCTAGCAAGCTCTGGAGCAAGATATCCAAAAGTTCCAACCACATGGGTGGTTGCAGGGTTTTCGCCATGATCATACAATCTAGCAAGCCCGAAGTCTCCTAGCCGCCCGTTAAAATTAACATCCAATAGGACATTGCTGGCCTTGACATCTCTATGAAGAACAACTTTTTCCCACCCTTCATGCAGATATAGCAGGCCTGATGCTATCCCTCTAATGATTTGATAGCGTTGTGCCCAATTAAGGCTTGGTTTCTCGTTGTTGTGTAAAAACTTGTCAAGACTTCCATGGGGCATAAAATCATAGACCAAGAGAAGCTCCCCCTTTCTTCGGCAGTAGCCGAGGAGCGCTACCAAGTTCCTGTGCCTTAGCCTACCCATGCTAGCGATTTCAGCCACAAATTCCTTCATCCCTTGATTTGAATCATGAGAGACTCTCTTGACTGCTACTTGTGCGTTAGAAGAAGGAAGTACTCCTCTGTAAACCTGTCCAAAGCCTCCTGCTCCTAGAAGCTCTTTTTGGTTGAACCCCTTGGTTGCTTTGTAGATATCCTTGTAGGAGAACCTCTCAGGTCCATATTCCACTTCCCAATCCTCGAGTATTTCTGCATACTTTCTTCTCCGTTGTATGTAAGCAATCCCAGCCATTGTGATGATCAACGCAGCCAGTACTGTTGTGGCTGAGATTGTAACATCTCGATGTAATTTTCTTTTGGATTTTTTGGGCCAGGGAACTGAAGGAAGTTTTGATAGTTCTAGGCTTTGTGCTAGCCCACTTTTGTTGAAGCTCCACCCCAAAATATAGTGGTTGCTTACCGAAAGTTTAACTGGTCCGGCAGCTGCAGAGAACCCAACATACATATAGTCAAAGAGAATTTGAGAAAGATCAATCGACGCTGACAAGAGAGGTTGATTTGGCTTTGCGACGCTGATAGGAGCTATTGTAACGATGATAATCTTTTTCACTCCATCATAATCTATCCAAACCTGCGTTGGGGTTTTACTGGTAAGATCCAAGCTCTTGTTGACCCCTTCTGTATTAGAAAAATATGATGCAGTAACCGACACATTGGAGTTTAGGCTGTTTATATCAATTCCCACATGATTGCCATCAATATCGTCAAAATCTGGGTTCTTCAGAGTATCAAACTCGACTCCAAACACATGATTCGAGGTGAGGCCGTTGTTGGTAGAATTGAAAATTCCCAAAAACTGGTTTGTCATGCCTGCCTTGGTGAAGTTGAGAGATGGTGAGATGATGAAGGCAAAGCCATGGCCATCTGGAATTCCCAATTCAGGAGTAATGGCAAATACAAAATAAGTGGAAAATGAAAGAGACTGAGCCGATCCAGATGAGGAGGAGTTAAATTTGACAGGAATTGGGTAGAAAGCATGGCCAGTTTCTCCCTGCGAAGTGTTGGTTAGCTGCAAGAGGCCATTGGGATGGATTACAGCTTGCCCATCAAGATACAGGTTGGATTGACGAAAGCCATGGTAGATGAACTGGGTGCCATCTTGAGCTAAGGCCAAGAGTTTTATGGACATAATAAGGAGGAAGATCAAGAAATTAAGAGGCCTTAGAGCTGTGGCCATTAAAGGAGAGAGAGACGTTTTCTTTCTTTCGTATTGGAACTTTAAGACTTTTCAATGGCTTTTAAATGTGGATCCGGCCTGGTTATTATTTAATCACTGAAAAAGTAAGCATTGAGACTTACTATTGCAATAGCAAAAAAAAAAAAAGACTTACCATTGCTGTCATCCTTTCATAGGGAGAGGTGGTAGGGGCCATGGGGTCAACCCTTGGACAGGAAAATAAGCACCTCAGCTTTTGAACCTAATGACAGAATTGATGTTGTTTACCCAAAAACAAACCAAAAAAAATAATTGATAGGATTGTTATCTTTTTGGTGACTGAAGGAGGAAAAATTGGCCGTGAAGGGAGACTAACTAGGACTACCATCACTTCATTGAGCGTGAAAAATTGAATAAAGATCCAATCGGTGTTTCTCTGAAAAGTTTTGGGATGGGATTTTTAAATTTTTTTTAACCAAATTCTCTGTGTAGCTCACAGATTCTGGTGGTGGTTTTTGGATTAGCATGTATTAAATTTCACTTAAATTCAAATACACAGTGTATAAGTCATTATTCAAGGATTTAAATTCCGTGTTTGGGAGGTGGAAAACAGGCTAATCTTCCCATTGTTAATAAAACAATTCAAAGTTGCTTTTCCGACACAAAGGTTTGGACTTTTATGACTCAAATGGTCATTCCAAAGAATTTTCCAAAAAAGGATAATATTATATTGTGGGATACAATGGATTTATTTCGACTATAGAATATAGACACTTGGGTTTGGCAAACAACCGCAGTTGCATTCACAAAGGAAAGTTCTACTTGACTCGAATCCTCTTTCATAGCCTAATATGGGAAACTCTATGAACCGACAGAGGTATCCCGCTATTTATTATTTTTATGATAAAATTATAATTATAAGAGAAAAGTTAAAATTACTAAAGAAGACTATAATCAATCACAGATACACTTAATCCATTATAGATTTTTATCTGAATAGTTGTAATTATTTTTTTATGAGTTGTAATTTTACATAAAAATAGAAATGTTTGTATGAATCTCAATATATTATGATCGATCATAATTTTTAAAAATTATAATTTAATATTAAATAATTATAAATTTTGATACAGTATCTCTTTTAGTATCCCACCTAATAAAAAAGACAAGTATCCATTGCAATAGGACAGACCAAAACCGAAAGACAAAGTACAGTACCTCCTCCGGTAACCTAACTTTTCCCGCCTAATAAAGAAGACAAAGAACCCATTACAATAGCACAGACCAAAACCTAAAGACAAATTAAGCGTTACATCACAGAATATAATAAAGCTCAGGATGTCATTGCGTGGTTGGTCAGTTGGTCTTTTATGACGGCTGGGATACGACTTGCGTAAGTGATTCTCCGTGTGAACTTGAAGGGTCTTCCTACGGTACCCATTTTTACTTTTTTTAGTATAATATTGAAAAATGATAATTCATTGTTTATTTATAATCGAGGAGTTATAATGAATATTATTTTATCTTTTACTGACTGGAGCCTTGACAAATTCATAAAAAAAAAAAAATTCAAACAAGGATGACGAAAGCAGAGAAAGAAGAAGATAGAGTTGGAGAGTTTTTTTTTATCACGAACCATCCAAGATATTATAAATTAATTAGTAGGTTGAGATTATAGTAATTTTATATTTAATAAAAAATAAATACACTTCAAAATGTTTTAGAATAAAATTATCATATTTTTGGATGCAATGAACCCATAATGGTGGAGTAAGGGTTATCACTCTATAGATGTGGTTATTAGGTTTAGGGGTAGTTAGAGTTTGGTTAGTAAGAATACCAATTTTATATAAAGTTATCACTTTTTTTTGGTAAGAGTACCATTTTTTGAGCAAAATTATCATTTTTTTGGGTAAGATTACCATTTTTAAAAAAATAGTTACCACCATTTGGATAAAAATACAATTTTTTTTGTGTAACATTTTCACTTTTTTTTATAAGATTACCACTTTTGGAAAAATAGTTACCACTGTATGGGTGAGAATATAACTTTTAAAGGGGAAGATTATTATTTTTTGGTAAGAAAACTATTTTTGAGGAGTAAGGTTACCATTGATTGTGTAAGAATACAACTTTTTTTTTAGGGTAAGATTACGACTATTTGAGTAAGAATACAACTTATTGAGGGTAAAAATACCAATTTTGGGTAAGAATACCAATTTAGGGTAAAAATACAATTGATTGGGTAACGTTAAAACTATTTGGGTAAAAATATGTTGTATTGAGAGTAAAATTACCAATTTTGGGTAAAAATACTACTTTTTGAGTGAATCCTATTTTTTTTTTGGTAAAGTTAAAACTTCTTTTTGTAAGATTACCATTTTGGATAGCTAAGGATGCCATTTTTGGGGGTAAGGATGCTGATGGGATGGGGTAAGTATACAACTAGATTACAACTCTTTGACTAAAATACAATTTTTGGGATAAAAAAGTTACTACTTTTTAAATAAAATTACCACCCTTAAAATTGGTTAGATTACCAATTTTTGGCCTAAGGTTACTGGTGATTGGGTAAAAACACAACTTTTTTGGGTAAGAAGGTTATTTTTTTGAGTAAGGTTACCATATTTTTTGTAAAATTAACACTTTTAGGGGTAAAATTACCATTTTTTTTGGTTAGTTTATCACTTTTTTCTTTTCATAAAATTAGGATTGGTCTTAAATCAAGCTTACCAATTAAGCATACCGATCTTAAATCATGATGGGTCCTGGCATGTTTAGCGATCTAGGTTGTCGATCAAACTTTAGCCTAAATCAGGACCAATCTAGGCATGTTTAACGATCAAGATTACTGATCAAGACTAATCTTGGCATGTTAGCGATCCTACTAATCAAAAACCTTTCATCACATTACCCAAATACCGAACTCAAAAACCCAAACCCAAAATCGAATTAAAAATCAAATTTTTTGGTAATTATCATCTACTCCCACGTTGGATAGAAATATTTTCAATCAACCTCAACACAATTTTTATTCGTACAATTCAATTAAAATTTGAGTTTATTAATTTTTTTAACATATTAAAATTCAAACCAATTAAAATTCATTTGTATACAAATATTTAGGATGATTGAGCTGATTAAAATTTATTTTTAGCGAATTTTAAGTCTATTAGCATGAAATTCAATGTTAATTTGATTAACTGAATATTAATTGGATGAATTTGTATATTACTTTGATATTGATGTGATAAATTGAAACTTTATTGGATGATTTAGGATATTAATTTGATAAATTGAGTTTTAATTAGTTGAATTTGAAGATAAATTATATGAATTGAATGATAATTTGACGTTAATTTGTTGAATTGAGTGTTAATAGAATGAAATTAAATATTAATTTGTTGAATTTAATGTTAACTAATTGAGTTTTAATGTTAAT